CTGCCTCTCTCCCCCACCCCCCCCAGCCTTTCACCTCCTCTCTCCCAAGTCTCACACCCAGCCAGACAGTCCCCACCTGCCGAAGGAATGGGACACTCCCCCAGCCGTCACCCCTTTCCCTGGCTGCAGCAGCCACACTCCTCCAGCCAGGGCTGAGATCCATGGGCTGCCTTGGGTGCTGTGGGGTGGAAGGGAGTGGGGGGCATTCCAGCCCATTGGGGCAGCCTCGCTGTGTGCACCATGCAGCTTCCATGGCACGTGTGGGGAGCAGGGGGGGACCCCAGCCTCTTCCACCCGCATCCATTTGTCATTCTGCAGGGAACAGGGAGGTTAAAGGGCCTGTCTAGGCAACACCGTTCACATGCCCGAAAGGGGCGCAGCCCAGCAAGGTGTGAGCGCCTGCTGCAGCTAAGTATCTTCTTACCCAGAGCGCAACGGCCCGGAGCCAAGCGGGGGCCGCAGCACTATCCCCACCAGGCAGCACGGAAGGTGGCGTGACCCCTACAAGGCTGGCTGAGCCCAAGCTCCAGAACAGCTAGCCCTGCACTGCCGCTCGTGGGTCCATGCGCCCCAAAGCACCTCCCGCCAGCAAGTAGCGATTGCCCTCGGTGCAAGCCCACCCAACCGCAATGTCACTGCTGGGAGGAGAGCGCTTTGCAGCTCCCTGGCCATGATGCAGGTGCCCAGAGACTGGCTGCTGCAGACACTTGCCAAGCGGGAGAACCCAACTGGAAGAGCAGGTTTATTTCCCCGCTAAAGGTGTGCTACATACATGGGGAACAAACCCCAGAGAGAGAACCAGGCCCCGGTTTTTAAAGCCACGCATGCAAAGGGCCCATGCATGCAGGTAGGCAGGCGTGCCAATCTCCACTGGCACACGGGTATCAGCCGGCCACTGTCTGCACTCGTGGCTTTTAAAATCATGAGTGGCCCTTTGAATCCTGGCTGGTGCCGACTGAAGGGACCAATCAGGGCATCGGTGGCTCTGTTGACTGCTGCCGATTGGGTGTTGACTGCTCCACCCCTCTTCTTTAAGGGGAAATAAACCACTGGTGTCTGCAGTGCAGAGTGCTAAGCGTTATCACCCCCCCGGTTGGTCGCTGCACCACTGCCAGTCTTGGAGCCTTCGCTATGGCGGGGCGGGATGGTGCATGCAGGACTGGAAGCTCTTCCCATCCCAGGGGCACAACCCCTGCCAAGTCACGGAGTAAGAGCCACCTCATTTTCCATCCCTGCCCAGCTGCGGGAGCAGTTCTCTCCTGTGCACGTCCCGCTCCCTTCCCCCAGCATGGGGCCCTCTCCCTCCCTTTCAGAGTTGCAGCAGTGAGGAGCAATGGCAAATGTGCCACGTGGCTGTGGGGGGAGGTGGCTCACCCAGGCGATGCTGGCACCGACTGGACAGGACAGATGGTGGTGGTGTGGCTGTGGGAGAGTTGGCCAGAAGTTGCCCCCTTGTTCTAGTAGATACTGTACAAGATTTCCATAGAGAGAGCTACATGTGGGGGCGGGGAGTGTACAGTCAGATGTGGGCTGGGATCTCTAACAGGGAAAATATCACAGATCACAAGAGTATAAAAAAATAATCAGCCCAGCTTTGCGTTGCTTGGTCACTCACGCAGCTCCTGCTGGCCTGCTGCTCATCGGCCGGCGTGTCTGAGGGGCGTGCACATGGCATTGGTTAAAGGGAGAGCCACTCCGCCTGGTGGGGGACGTACACTTCCGCGGCACCCCAGCCAAGGCCAGCATTGCAGTCTGAAGGTTACTGAAGGTCAAGGCAGCAGAAGCAGAGTGAGGGCTCTGGGAAGGCGGGTGGTCCCGGGCATGGCGGTGGTGGAGGACGGACTCACGGAGACACGGACGCAGGCGGGGTTTGGCTGCCAAGAAGCACGCTAGCAGAGAGCGGGGGCTTCCTCCTCAGTCCTTCAGGTTGGCTTCTGAGACCCCCTGGGCCATCAGCTCAGCCAGGACATTGTCCAGGTAGTTGGGGTCAGGGTAGCCGTGGCCAGTGAGGTTGGAACCAAACTCTGTCTTGTGGTGGATCTCGTTCCACACCACAGTGTCGCACTCTCCCGTCGTGCTGGATGTGCCGATGGTGAAGATGAGCCGGCGGTCCCATGCCACAATCAGGAGCTTCAGAACCTGTGGGGCCAGAGGGAGGTCACACACCCTGCCAGGCCATGGCATGCCCCAGTTGGCCTAGAGCACCCTGCTTTGGGTCTGAGATCCCTCCCCAGTCTGCCAGCATGTACTGGGAGGGGAGAGGCCTGCCTGCCCCTGATTGATATCGGGGGCTTAGCCCTGACATCTCTCTAGTGCAGGAGCGGCAGCTCTGCCAAGTCACAGCAGATCTGGTCCAGGAACCCAGAGAATCGTTCCCCAGAGAATGATCGAGCCTGGAGCTTGGTCTGATCTGGGGTCTGCCCCACCCTCCAGAACACAGACCCCAAAATGTGGGGCTTGTTATGAGGCTATTCCTTTCTGCAGAGCACGGGAATATAAGCCCCCTGCAGAATAACCCTCTGTGGCCTTCACACTACGCCCCAGCCTTGCATGTCGTTTCCCCCCACACGGGCTCAGACCCGCCCTGCAACAGGACGGAGGCAGAGACAGCGTCTGACTACCACAGCCAACAAGCCCCGTGGAAACGTACGGCCCAGTCCTGTGTGGTCACTGACTCAGGCTGTTTCCTCTCATTTCTTATGGCCATGTGCAGAGTGAATATTGTTATGTGCACCAATATGGAGGTGATGTGTGGTGGGGCCGAGGGGTTCGGAGTGTGGGAGGGGGATCAGGGCTGGGGCAGAGGGTTGGGGTGCGGGAGTGGTGTGGGCTCTGGGGTGGGACTGGGGATGAGGGGTTTGGGGGTTAAGCTGCCTCCGGGCTGAGGTGGGGAGAGAGGACTCCCCCCAGCCCTCTCTCACCCCAGCAGCTCCAGCCGGGCTGGGCCGGGGAAGGGGCTCCTCTCCCCACCTGCACGGCCCCGAAAGTTATTTCGATTAAATACTAAGGCTTTGACGGTGTGAAGTTTGCACGGCTGGATTAGCAATGCAGCCTAGGGGAGTTAGGACACTGAACATCCTGGCATTTGTGCACTCAACTCCCTTCTGCTCCTTTGAAATCGCCAACTCAGGTGTACGTTGCCAAGGGTGTAACGTGCCAGGCCCCATCACAGCACACACACAAGTGTCTCCAAGCCCCTGTGCCAGGGCTGGTGCTAGTGACCTGGCACGACCCACCTTGTGCCGATAGTCAGCAAACCCGTTTAATCCCCTGGCTGCAGCAGAAGAGTATTGCAGCAGCTGTCACAAGGGGGTGACCCTCTCTCCCCCCGCCAATGCCACCTCCTTGAGGGGAGATGCAGCCGGCTTTGTGGGAGGCAGCCAGGCTCCAGGAGCTGCTGGGGGCAGGCCACTCACCTTCCTGCCTTTCTCGTTGTCCGGTAGGTAGCAGTGCCGGGGGAAGCCTCGGGCTGTGAACTTCTTCCCGGGGTTCGGGTGCTCTGGGCCCTGGCAGGGAACAAAGCAGGCGCTGGGGAAATCCGGCAGCCAGCAGCTGTGCCTGAAACCCGTCACCCCCCTGCTCAAGAAGGCAGCACAGCTGCCCACGCCCACCACATTGCTCAGGAGGCACTGGCTGGACGGGGCTGAGAGTGATGCATTGGGCGACAATGGGGCACAACCTGCAGGCAGCAGGGGTCTGAGCGAGATCCCGCCTGGCAGGGCGTGGCCAGCGACCGCACCACCTAGGAATAGGAGATGGGGCCTGGCCTAGACCCACCACCAAATCAATGGGGTGTCACACCCTGGGCTGCCTCTGCCCGGCTGCTGGAGGAAGCAGAGGAGGCCCCAGGCTCTCCATCAGTTGCCCCCAGGGCCGGGGGAGCGGTCTGAGAATGTGGCATGCTTAGCCACCTGGGGGATTCCCGAGGGGGAGGCAGCAGGCGCCAACTCTTCTGGGCCACGGAGCCGCTGGCTGCCCCCGGAGATTCCTCTGTCCCTGGGCAGCTCACCTGGATGCCCGTGGGGATGTCGTAGACGATGCGGATGGTTTTGGATTCCGTGTAGCCTGGCAGCGAGTGTGGGATGATGTGGAACTCCATCTTCCCTGGGGGCTGGGTCCCGGTCTTCTCCCCATAGATGGCCTTGCAGGTGGGGCACTGCAGGCTGCCATCCTTGGGGGCAGAGGCACAGGGTGAGGAGGGTCAGCCAGCCAGGCAGAGCATCCTGCCCCAGGGCACAGGCTGCAAAGAGGCTAATGGGGGAATCTCCCTTTGCTGGGCACTATCCCTCCCACAGGCAGGACTGTTCGGACCCATGGGACCGGCTGGGGTAAGCCTGCCGAAGGCCCTGGAGGGGCACCAAGGCTGGAACTGACCGACTCTCCGCTGAGGGCCCAGAGCTGGTTGTGAGGACCCTGCGGGGCCGTGGGATGTGTCAGGGAGGGGAGCACTGCCCTAGGCACAGGGGGCTCTCAGCTGGGAAGGCTGGTGGCCTGCTGGAGGCACCTCTCCCCCCCCGGCCCAGCTCTCACCTTGTTGCCGTTGTTGTACATGGCCACCAGGCAGAGGAGATGGTACATGTGCCCGCACTTGCCCAACTTGCCCACCAGCTCCGGCTTGGCGCCCCTGTGGCTGAGCAAGCCCTCGTAGCCGGACGAGGCCACCAGCCTCTCCATGCAGATGGTGCAGTCCTGCCGGGGAGCGGGGTGTTACCAGAGCTGGGCTGCTCCCGCCCACCCCCAGCCAGAGCCCAGCAGCCGGTTCCACCATCACCCTCCTGCCCATGGGCCAGGCGGCAGGTTTGGGCCTCTGGTGCCTTTGCAGCCTTTGGGGACACGTCCTTCCCATGGCACCTGCTCCGCCAGCCGGCTTGGCTACCCCGATGTCTGCCTGCCCCACCGCCCTGCCCAGCTCCTCGCCCACTCTTCTGCCCCCACTGCCCCGACCCCCCTGCCCCCACTGTTCCCTCGGCTCCGTCCCAGTCCCCACTGCCCCCTTGGCCCTGCCCCCGCCCACACAGCCCCCAGTACCTCCTCAGCCTTGACCCTGCCCCCACTGCCCCCCAATCTTGCCCCTGGCCCCACTGCCCCCTTGGCCCCAACCCTACCCACACTGTCCATTCGGCCCCTTAGCCCTGACCCTCACCCCACTCCCTGCCTCTCTCTCCCGGAGAACTGGCCTGTCTGAGCGTAGCAGGCACTGGCCTGCACCAGGGCCAGGGCTAGATGCATGGGGCAGTTAACCCCTTTGTCCCGTCCCTTTCAGGCGCTTCGGTGCCACTGCAGAACTGGTGCAGCAGCAGCGAGTGGTTGAAACCCGGGGCCCCAAGGAGCTGGAAACTGGGCCAGGGGCTCTGCAGCGAGCTCCTGGAGCCAGGCTAGCAAAGGAGACATGCAGCAAAGCTCCCAGTGAGCTCAGGCTCCCATGCCATCTCAGAGCACCCACCGCAACCTCCATTTGCCCCAAACACAGTGGGCACTTATACCAACCCCGCCAGGGCCAGGGGGAGTGTGGAGAAGGGAGGGCCTAGGAGGAGTCGGGGGGTTCTCCAGAGGGTATTTTGGGAAAGGAGTGCTGCCAGGCTGGTGTCCTGGGGGGCAGAGTTAAGGGGGTGGCAGAGGTGAGGGGTGTGCCTGTGGGTGGAGGAGCTGCTGGGGTCCCTGCTGCTGTAGTTTTATACCAGGTGTGTTGTGTGTCACTGTGTCCCAAGAGTTCACCGTGTATTCACAGGCCACCGCAGGGCTGCCACTCAGACAGGCCTAGTCATCCAAGCCGAGCCCCGGCCCTGGGTACTGTCCGAACCCAGCCGCCCAGGGCAGGGCCACTGGTGAGACCCGTGCACAGGTGCTCACCTCGTCCGGCGGGCTCTTCACCTTCTGGATGTACCGGCGCACCACATCCTCGGGGTTCTTGCCTGCCCCAGGAGAGAAGCAGGGGGTCAGATTGCACCCTCATGGCCCACAGCGCCCCAGGGCCACCCACTCAGCTGGGCCACGTGGCCCCTTGCTCACGGCTAGGAGCCACATCTGTGGTGGGGGGGAGGCAGGATTGGACGGACACAGAAATCGGCTTGGCTGGAGCGGGTGCGATCTCTGGGTCAGGGCTGGAGGAGGTTGAACCCACCCCTGGGAGTTCAGAGAGAGCCTTTCATCAGCTTGGGGAGGTCCATTCCTGGAAGCCACAGGAGCAAGTGAGCATGAAGAGGGAATCCCGCTGCCCCCTAGGACAGGGGTCCCTGCAGCTCAGGGCTGAGGGGCCCAGCTCAGAGGCAGAATCAGGAGGCAATTCCCTGGCCAGGCTGGCACAGAGCTCCACACTCCGGCTCTTTGGGGCTGGGATCTCCGGGGACGAGGCTGCTGTGGTTTTCGGAACAGGGAGAGCTGGGTGAGGCGTGGGTCACACCACGTCCACTGAACCACGGGCTCCCTCCTGCTTCATCACAAACACAGCATCCAAGGGGGGGGGATAGCTCAGTGGTTTGAGCATTGGCCTGCTAAACCCAGGGTTGTGAGTTCAATCCTTGAGGGGGCCACTTAGGGATCTGGGGCAAAAAAATCAGTACGTGGTCCTGCTAGTGAAGGCAGGGGGCTGGACTCAATGACCTTTCAAGGTCCCTTCTAGCTCTAGGAGATAGGATAGCTCCATTAATTAATTAAAAACCAGGGCAAACTACTACTGACCCCTTGGGACCCAGCCCCTCACCCCAAGCTTGCTTGCCACCGGCCAGCCTGTCACTGTGCCCCCCACAAGAGTGGGAGGAGTGCAGCCTGCACGCCTCTGTGAATACACTCCACGTTCGGCACTTGGTGCGTGTGATTGGGCGCCTGGTCACATGGTATTGATGACCTAACCTTTATAAACAGGAGCTCTCAGTGAGACGATGGGCTTGACTGCTCTCTGACCCTTTCAGGAGGCCCCTGGTGCACTTTGCACTGATGTAACCCGATGGGCAAATCTCTTCTGATGCCCACACGTTAGGGAGGCTAGAACTGGTGGAGCCGAGGCAACTGCCCTGGCACTGAGTCTGGGCCTCAGCAGCCATGGAGCTTCCTGCAGCTGGGGAAGGTTCGTGGAGGTGGAGCTGATCTCCCCCATGCTGGTACCTCCAGGTAACTCTCTCAGCTGCAGGAAGCTCTGTGGCTGCAGCACAGGAGTGGGGGGGGGCATCCCGGGGCCCCCCCCCCCCACACAACAGCTTTGTGATTCCACAGGCAGGACCCCCTTTGGGTCAGGACTCCCACAGTACAACACTGACATTTCAGATGTGAACATGTGAAATTGACCAATTAAAAAACCCTCTGGCTGTGAAATTGATCAAAATGGACGTGAATTTGGTAGGGCCCTGTAGTGAGCCGGTGTGGCACCCCTCCGTCTCCGACAGGGCCGAGCTTCCTCCAACCCCAGTGTGGGCGGAGCCACCGGGTCCGGGGCCCGCCCCTCCGAGGTCACGGCCCCGACCCGGAAGTATAAAAGCCCGCCAGCAGCGCTCAGTGAGAGCCAGACCGCCAGAGAGAGCAGACGTCCCGGGCCGAGCTCCCGCTTGGGAGACAGCCGCAGGCCGTGAGCCGCCTGCTAACGCCCCGCACCGGTCAAGCCTCCCGCTCGCCCGGTACCCTGAGGAGGACTGGCCCAGCCTGCCCCGGACCCGTTACCCCAAGGAGGACTGGCCCAGCCTGCCCCGGACCTGTTACCCCGAGGAGGACTGGCCCAGCCTGCCCCGTGCCAGCTATCCTGAGGAGGACTGGCCCAGCTTGCCCCGGACCAGCTGCCCCGAGGAGGAGTCAAGTCTGCCCCGTGCCAGCTATCCTGGGGAAGAGCTGCCGGCCCGGCCCCCAAGCCCCGCACCCGAGGAGCTGATGCTGCTGGACTGGCCCGAACCCGGCACCGCCGCCGAGGTAAGCCCCGAGGGGGAACAAGGAAGTAGCCCGGGGGTAGCCGACCCCGGTCAGGCTGCAGAGGCCTGTGAGCCGATGTCAGTGTGTTTCAGTCAGGATACCCCACTGACCAGCAGCGACAGTAACCGCTGCTAGGGCCCCGGGCTGGGACGCAGTGGAGTGGGTGGGCCTGCGTCCCCCCCTGCCACCCCCACTCACGGGTGGCAGGCTTCCCCCTCACCCAATCCTCAGGTAGGGCCTGGGCCTAATTAAACTGCTTGTTTGCTCAACCCCTGCCCCAGAAGGGCTTGAGCTGTGACTGCTTGTGCCCCGCCCTGACCCAGGGCCTGGGCCCCTTACCTGCTTGTTTGCTCAACCCCTGCCCCAAAGGGCTTGAGCTGTGACTGTTTGTGCCCCGCCCTGACCCAGGGCCTGGGCCCCTTTAACTGCTTGTCTGCTCAACCCCTGCCCCAAAGGGCTTGAGCTGTGACTGTTTGTGCCCCGCCCTGATCCAGGGCCTGGGCCTGCTTAGACGGTTAGTTAGCGCTCAGCCCCTACCTAAGGGCCTGAGCTCCTGAACTGAGAGCCGCTCAGCCCTTGCGTAAAGAGACCTGAGGTTAGTCTGTCTGCAATTTAGTGAGCCGGTGTGGCACCCCTCCATCTCGGAGGGTAGAGCCCCGGCTCAACCCTACTACAGGCCCTAAAAAATAATCCTTCCCTCCTCCCACCGTCTGTCTGTCCTGTCTATTTAGATTGGAAGCTCTTTGGGGCTGGGACATTATATCTGTGCACACCTAGCACGGGGTCCTGAGCTCTGCTGGGCTAACCGAATCCACAGCCCTGTTGCAGCAGCTTGCAGGTAAGAACAGTCTTAGGTTCATATTGCTCAAGACAATACGGGATCATCAGATCATCTCGTCTGACCCCTGCAGATCACAGGCCATTACCCCTGGATTCAGCCCAATAGCTTTGATTGGCTAAAGCACCTCCCCCAGTCTTGAGTTGTAGATCTCACAAGCTGGAGAATCCACCACTTCCCTTGGCAGTTGGTTCCAGTGGTTACTCACCCTCACTGTCAAATATTCATGTCTAATCTGAATTTATTTGGCTTGAACTTCCAGCCATAGGTTCTTGTTCCGCCTTTCTCTGCTAGTCTAAAGAGCTCTTTAGTAGCTGGTCTTTTCTCTCTCATACACTGTCACCTCTCAGCTAAACAGATCACCTCCTGACGTCTCACTGCCAGGCATTTTCTCCAGGCCTTGACTCAGTCAGCACTGGTGACAATCACTGAAAAGCAATCCCACTAGCACCCCCTTTGGGGTGCCAGGTCTCCCAGGAAGCTGCCTGGCCTTGTGCTGTACATTAGCAGTGAAGATGACACGCCGAACCCTTCCTGTGTATAACATCCTCTGTTGCCTAGTACGTGTGAAATGGCCCATGAGTAGCGTACCAGATGGCACAATAATCCCGTGGCTCTGGGGCATCAGGGTGAAGGTGCCTGGGCATCCCCCTGGGCATGATTGCAGAAGCTGGGCATAACACCTCTGGAGAGCTGAGTTTGAATCTGGCTGAGGCATGAAAATGCATTTGAGGGTCTTGGGCCAGGGTGTAGGGGATGTTTGTCTATATTAGAAAATCACTGTGCAGTTTGGCAGAGAAGCCCAGGACTGGGATAGCAGGGGGCTGGGGGTCAGGAGTGAGGCTCGGAGTGGGGGGGTGATGTACTCCAGGCTGTAGGCCTCTCCATGTCATTTACCAAAGCCTGGTGATGAAAGGAAGAGGCAGGCTTGGTTACAGGTCCAGGGCCATGTTCCCAGCTAGATCCCAGCGCTGGGATTGTCAGGATGGAGGCCAGTGCATGTGGCTCTGTGGGCTGGAGAGAGGGTGCTGTCTCTTACTCTTTTTGAGGTGCTTCTTCTTGGTTTTCCTGCAGATGCCATTGATCCCGGGCACCGGCTTGATGTCGCTCTTGCTCACGGGCGGAGGGTGCAGGATGGGCTTCGGGGCCCGGGTCAGGCATACAGGCAGCCCAGCAGCACACATCAAAATGCCTGTCATACCTGGGTCACAGAGAGATGGTAAGGCCAAGCGCAGACACTTAGGGGGCTGGGCGATTATCTCCCCACTGAGTGGCAACAATCACAGCGTGGGACAGGATCCCCTGCAGTCTGTGAGACTGATCTCAAATGCTGGGATTGTCCCTTCGCTTTGAAGTGAGATGGGTAGGTTGTACCAGCCAACCATCCATCCATCCATCCGGCATACCCAACCAACCATCCATCCATCCGGCATACCAACCCAACCACCCAACCAACCATCCAGCCAGCATACCCAACCAACCATCCATCCATCCGGCATACCCAACCAACCATCCATCCATCCATCCATCCACACTCACCAGGATAAGTAAGTATCATCTCACTGGGCAGTGTTATACCCAGGAGTGGACAGCTGCCCAGAGCTGGGGGAATTCCAGCTGCTCTTACCTGCCAGGGCAGGATGGACTGGTCCGGTTCCATTCAGATTCTTAACCGGGAGGGCAGGAACCCTGAAGCAGAGACAAGAGAAGTGAAGCAGAAAGCACATTTAGTTGTTGGAAGGTAGTGCCCAGAAGGCTAAGCCACACCCTCGGAAACCACTGCTCCAGGAGAGGGAGAGGGGAGCGGAGGTGAAGTTAGTGATGTTGCTCCCCAGACCATGGTACCTTTCCAGGGGTGATGCCAGAATCCCTTTCAAGAGAGTGCAGAAATCCAGCCCAGGATCTAAAGGCGACCGCTCCTGCATTCAGAGTATTAGCTAATGGAGCATGACCCATGGCCAGACCAGCAGAGAGCCCCTCGCTCTGTCAGACCCTCCGAACGAGGATCCCTGACCCAGATCCTGTGTGCCCATTGGTGCCCTTGTTACATCAAGGCTGGCAGCAGACTCAGGCTGCAGGGGATTCTATCTCATAGCACAGGATACAAATGATCCCCCTGAACTCACCAGCTCCTGCAGTGGACGCTGGGCATCCCAGGCCAGCAGAGAACAGCGGCATGCCCCTCTGGCTGATGGAGACAGGTGAGGAGGGGCTTTGCGGGGAGCTGCACTGGCTGGTGAGTTTGCCTGCACCTGAGGCTAGGGATCTGGTGGGAGTGGGCCTGAGAGAGAGACTGCAGTACGAGTAGAGGGGAAAAGCAAGCTGCTCCCCAGGGAATGCTCGAGGGGCAGAGTTCCTAGAGGGGCATCCTTGTTCTAGGGCCCCCAGCAGGAGACCTGAGCCCCTAACCTGTTGTGTACAGCTCCTGCTAGGGAGCCCCTGGGCTCTGCTTCCAGCTCTGGTGCTGACTCACTGGGCAGCCTTGGGCCAATGCCCTCCCCTGCCTCAGTTTCCCCATTGCGCACTGAGGATAATAAGCCTTCCCCTCTCTCCTTGGGTGAGGCATTCTGAGTCCCGCAGGCGAGAAGGGACCAATCCATTACACGACAGCCAGAGCATGTCCATTCTGCCCTAGGATCCAGGCTCCCTCCAATCCCCACCCCACAAATACCCACTGATCTCCTTCCCCCCACAGCACTCTGTTCTGCTTTTCAGGCTGAACACCCCCGAGACAGGCCTGTCTCCCCCACCTCCTGCTCCTTCCCCTGGACCAAACATTGGGGCGGTGGGCCAGGAGTCCTGGGGGGAGGGGAAGCCCACGGGGGGGCCAGGTTGTGCCAGCTGTGCCCCCTGGCTAGCACCAGGCCCAGTCAGTGCGGTAATGAAGAGCCCAGCCGCCGGGTGTGATGAGAGCTTTCCCAGACATTTGGTCAATTAAGCCCTGTGCTCAATCGTATTAATTAGTGCTCAGGCTCTTGGGGCTGGGTCAAAATGTCAGCAAGGCTGATCCTGCTCCCCGTGGAGTAAAGCTGCTGGATTGCTTCTAGGAGCCTCCTCCACCTCGGGGCGGGGGCAGGGAAGGGGACCAGGACCCCCTCACTGCCATGTGCTCTCACTGTATTGCAAGACCCCAGGGAGAGAGGGAAGGATGCAGAGCCCCTCCCCCAGTGATTCTCCAGCCTTTCCATCCCACGCCCCCGGGCTGGGAACAGCCAGCACCAGCGAGAACTCCAGGACAGCTGGGAGCCCAGCACCAGCTCAGTTTCACAGCAGAGCCTACCAGCAGCGTCAGCTGTGAGCACTATGGAGCACAGACAATAGCAGCCATGAAGCTGACAGGAGTGACAGCAAGGGGTGAAGTAAGGCAGTGTCTACACAGACACTGTGTCTCCCTCACTGCACCGACATAAGCCCTGCGCCTCTGGTGGAGCTGGAGTGAGGGTGTCGGGGTAGCAGGCCGCTTACTTCGGCAGAAGCAGCATTCTGGTGCGGACACCAACATAACTGGTCACAGGAATTAGAGATGGCAAAGCGCAGTCCCGTGGATTTCCTCTCCGGGGGCAGGGAGCAGGGCGGGCGTGAGCCCTCTGGGGTGTTCTCCAGTGTTTGTCCTACTCGGCTTGAAGTGACCCAGATGAGGGAGCTTTCACCACCACCCACGCGCCTGTCTGGGATCACACCTGACTATGCATGTGTCCTTGCAGCATGCACGCACCAGGCAGTGAATTTATGGCTGTAGCCATTGAGTGTGAGACCCTTTGTGTACATTCGCAGCGTGTGTGCGTGTGCTCGCAGCGTGTGCACACATGGCTAGGAACACTCCTGACGGGCTTCCATCTGCCCATGCTCCTCCGACTGATTAACTCTGTGTTGGCTGCTGGGCCGGTGAGCCGAGAGCGCACCATGGCAGGATGCCAGCGCATCACTGGCTCTCTTCCAAAGCTGCAGTGCTCTGCAGCAGCAGCAGGGATGGTCCCTGCCTTCCCAAACCTGTGTGCCACTCTCCTGGCCTGGCCTCTCTCACACGGGAACCACGAGCTGGGTGCCAGTACCAGTGGGTGCCAGGTTGCGGTGGCGAATTCAGCCCCTGGCTATTTAGTGGGGATGGCCGTGGTTGGGGATTGGGAGGGTGGATTTAGTGCTGGAATTTTCCTGGCACCGAGACCCAGGCAGCTGATGTGCAGGCCTCTCCCACCTAACTCTGCTAGTGCTCCCCAGTCCTGTGCTACAGCCCAATCCCTCCCCACAGCTCCAGTCCTGCCCCCTCCAATGCCTCTACCCTGCCCTGCGACACCTTCCGTACTTCCAGCCCTGTCAATGCTCCCCTAGCTGACCTGCAGCTCCACCAACGTCCCTCCAGACCGACCTGAGACCCTGCTGCTCCGGTCCCAGACCCGGAGTTTGGAACCCTCCCTCACCTCTCCACCGTCTCCCCTTTGTCAGTCTGCAGCTGCCTGGCAAGGGGGAGAGAGGCAGGCCCAAGGGGCATGGGGCTCTGAGCTGCAGAGTCCAGGGGGAAGAAGGCAGTAATGATGTCCTGGGGATGTCCCTTCCAGGGTTTGGAACAAGCTAAGAGCCCAGAGATCCAGCCCAGGTTACACTGGGCCAGGTGTTTTGGGGCCAAGTTCCCGGCTGGCCCGGCTCTATTGCCTGCGTTGGATTGACACCAGCAGAAGGTTGGAGCTGGGGGGTGATGCCTGTGCTCTGCAGACACGCTCAGTGCAGCTGATTGTTCTGCACTTCAGCGGGAAGTCTCCAAGCTTGCATTTGTAACCCTGCTGCAGCAACAAGGGCCAGGTTCAGTATCTAGGGGTTCCTCTTCAACAATGCAACACAAACCCAGCTCGAGCCCCCACCCAGTGACCTGGGACAATTACACACCAGCCCTGGGCGCCTCGGAGAGGCCACACTTCCCCTCTCGCAAGCACAGAGTCTGAGTGCAGAAAAGAAACTTTTAATAAAAGGAGGGAAGGAACCCGGCATTCATTTGGGGAAACACTGAAAACGGGGTTCATAAGCATAAACCACGAGCAAACGACCCACCCCCAAGTAAGTTGGGCAGTGTCCTTTGCTGTGAGGTTCTGAACTCCAGCAACCCAAAGTCCCGTTAACGTGCCCGTCCCTTCCCTGCACCCCACTCACAGGTGTTGCCCCGGTCAGTGCAGACCCAGGGGCATATCTGCAGATTTCACCTTCTGCCCTGGGTGAAGGGGAGTAAAAAGGCACTTCACTGCCCAGGCACTTAAGCAGAGCTCCTCTTTCCCAGGCACCTGATTGCCACACCTCCCTACCAGGAATCCTACCAGCTGATCCATGCTCTGCTCTTCTTTGCCAATTGATCAGCATGCCTCCCTACCAGCTGATCACTGTACCTTTCTGTCAGCTACCCTACCAGTCAAACACTGCACCGTGCTACTGGCTATCCTACCGACCACCCACAAATCCACCAGGATGGCTTTAGGTCCCATCAACCCATGTCTCCTGCCTAGCGAGTGCTGTTTAGTTGAGGGTGAGTCCCTCCATCAGGCTATGACAAGTACAGTTCTGCTGCCTTTGATTCACACAAGGATAAAAACCCTTTATTACTCCTGCCCAATAACAAGGAGATGGGGAGATCCAACACCAGCCAAAAGCGATCATTTGGACAAGCAATCCCACCATGCTGAGCACCTAGGCAGGGTGGGTGTGCCCATGCAAATGAGATCAGCTCCTGAAGTCCTCTTCCACACCTCATCACTAGATGTCAGGGAAGAGCTCGTCCAGACTCTGCTTACACATTTTAGGGGTTCCCAGTGATGAGCGGCTCCCCTGCCCAGCCCTCTAGGGAGTCCTCGCACCTCTGGAGATTGGGCGACATGCCCCACAAGTGATGGGTGGGATGGGGATGTGACCCAGCCAGCACGCGGAGGCCTCGCCAGCCAGTGCTGGGAGGCACCTGAGTAGTATGGATGGGGATTTTACAGAGAGCTGGGCATGGCTCCCCTCCCCCCCGTGCAGGTGAGCAGCACTGCCCCCCATTTTCCCAGTCAGGGCTGATGGGAAGCACGAAAGCAGCCCAGCCCAGCATGGCAGTTACTGCTCCTGGGGCTGGCCAGAGAGCAACAGCCCCTCTCCAGCCGACCAGAGCTTTGCGCCATGCTCCTGCTCTTCAGAGACTTTCTCCTGCCTCAGCTGGGCATCCTGCTGTGAGCAGGGGGGGCTCCCTTTCACAGCAGGGAGCCCCTTGCTCCTCAGAGCTGGAGGTAGCTGTGAAATTCCAAACATGTCATTTTCACTGCTGGTAGGCTCCCTGCTGCAAAACTGCACAGCCATGGGCTCACAGCTCGGGCTGTCACCCCGGGGTGGGGTGGGGGCTCCAGCTGTGAGCCCGGTGCAGCAGTCAGTGCCCCACAGTGTGCTGCTTCAGTCGGTGCAAGCGCTCCTGGTGAGGAGCACCGCCCGCAGAAGGAGGGCAGTGTGGACACCAACAGCCCATGGAATTTTGTAGTGTAGACAAGCTCTAGGACTATTGTGGAGAGAGGGGCTTGAGCAAAGCCCCAGGATGCAAAGAACCCTGATCTGCTGGAGAGGAGGGCAGGGCTAAAATCCAGGGCTGGATCTAAACCTGCCCCGATGCTCATGCCCAGCACGGGTTCACCCAGCCACAGAGAGAAACGTGTACCCTCCAAGGCAGGGGTTCTCAACCAGGG